CAGAAGAGGCTCTGTGCCTGCCTGGTAGGGGGCATTGAACCATGCAGAGCTTTTGGTAGGGGTGGTGCAGTGGGCAGTAGGGGTGTGGAGGAGGAAGGGAACCCAACAGACAGGACTGATGCCATCTGTGAGGGCTCGGAAATATTGCCACAGCAGCAGGCACAGGGCCAGCACCACTTTTGTGTACCTCTGTAACAGTATCCCATATGCCACTTGCAGTGATATATCACAAAGACCAGTGGCAGTGGCGCTACAGGATGCCTTCTCACCCACCCTCTCTGCCCAGCCTCCCGGACACCCATTGGATGCTCACCCACCCTGAGGGAACTGAAATAGCCCAATATTAACTTCCTTTTCTAACTGTTCAATGATGTTATTGTTGTGTTCTGCTGTTGCCACTGCCACCAGTTGTGCAGTTCTGGCCTGAACTGGGCTGTTTGGCCAGGGCTGAACAGACAGGGCTAGCTGGCAACATGTGCTTTACAAGAAACTTCTCTTTGCCTGTAACACACTTAGGGTCTGTAAACTGACCTGCGAACTAGCAAGAAAGCATCATCACCCTGGCTACAAGTCAAACACTAGCTTCCCTATCCAAAGTGGTGTACATTCTCCTACCAAGTGCACAATGCTAGCAGTGAGCCTTCCTCCCCATGCATGAAGAGAAGCTGGGGCAGAGGAGTCCCACAACCTCTCTGCCCTGCTGAGCCCAGGCAGCTCCCACCCTAGCAGTCCTGGGGTTCTTCAGCTTCAAGGGCATTAAATCCTTGCCAGGAATAACATCTGTTCTCTATCAATAAAGTTCTTATATAGCCTAAGGTCAGAGGGAAAAGGGTTTTCCATTCCTCACGGAATTGATGAAGTGCTCAGTGACTTAGGACTTGGCTTCTGTGGCCCAAGGCAAGAGTGAAGAGCCGAGCTTCCTGAGCAGCCTTCATCCCAGGGTCAGAAGAGAACACAGCTAGTCTGTGGAGGTGTCCCCTCTGAACTAGAAAATCCCTCATGTTCTCACAGTAGCACCCTGTGCCTCCCCCAGTTGCTATGTGTCAGCACTAGCTCCATTTCTCCATAGAAAACATTTTCTGCAGCTCCTGGAGAACAGAGCCCTAATGGACATCCCTGCTCACCATGGTGTCTGACTCACATCTGTACTCAGATCTGACCCCTGGAACATGTCCCAGACAGCAAAACTGCTGTCCCAGGGGTGTTGCCTTCAGGGGAAGGCAAGGCGACCTGGTTGCAAGGAACAGCACGGCAGCCTGGCCTTGACCGGGCTACTCGGGCTAACGACACACACTGACATCAGTGTGGTGGACGGTCGAAAGGCCTTTATTATCTTATCTCATGGGTTTAAATAGTCTCGGGGGACTTTGCTACGTCAGGGGGGTTGGTAGGGTCTCTAGGGTTAGTCAGGAGTGGAAAACTACTGGGTTAGGTGTGGTTATATTCTTTGGGGGTAGTAGATAACGTGCTGCAGGAGGAGAGGGGGAAGGGGTCTTTCTTTCCATCACATCCCGAGATCTTCCGTTCGCCTGTCCCTATCTACTACATCTCCCCCCTCCTTTTCATAAATAAAATGAGGTAGTCGTAGATATAGGCACTGGAGTGAGGTACAAACTTGTAACTTGGTAAGGAAAAGGGGGTTTGGTAAACCTGAGTAATTCTCGCAAGGTGAGTTTCGAAGGCTTTTGTGACTGACTGTGTTCACAGTTTTTGGTTTACAGCATTTGTTGCTGGCCTACAAACAGAATGTTCGCCTGTTCTAGACGGGCCTGAACAAACGAGACTAGTTTGTTTAGCAGGCATGGTCCTAAGGTAACAGCTAAAAGCAGTATTGCCAGTGGACCTACCAGGGCGGAAATTAAAGTGGTGAGACAAGGTGATTGATTGAACCAGGATCCAAACCAGCTCTGTTGGGTTTCCCTGTCTTTCTTTCTCTGAGCCAGCCTATCTCAGAGTTCTGCCATGGAGTCTTTAACAACTCCCGTATGATCTGCATAAAAGCAGCATTCCTCTTTCAAGGCTGCACACAGTCCTCCTTGTTGCATGAACAAGAGGTCCAGTCCTCGCCTAGTCTGTAAAATTACTTCTGAAAGCAAAGAGACTGATTTCTCTAGATAGGAGATGGATTTCTCAATCCTCTGTAGGTCTTCGTTGATGGTCATTTGCAGCTGAGAGAGTCCGTGCTGTTGGGTTACGATGGCTGAGACATCCGTGGCTGTGCCAGCTGCTCCAGGCCGAGCAGCATTGCGATAGTTATACCTGTGATTATTTCTCTTTTGTGGAGTTTGTCAGGTTCTTCGAAAAGGTGGTATACTTCTTCATCTGAGTGGTACAGGACCCTAGGAACAATCAGAACTTGGACACAGAAGTCGATAGAGTCGTTAAATTTGGCAAGGAACACACAAGGACTCACTCCTGATCGTTGGCAAACCCACATCTCAGATGCGGATGGGACCACCCACTTATTAGTTTTTCTGTTGGGCTTGATAACTTTAGTGCAGAAGTTGCCTTTCTGCTTTGCTAAAGCTGCATTGCTAAAACATCTGTCCTGGCCTGTGATTTGACTTAAGGTGATTCCTCTGCGAGGAGTGTCCCATCTGCACTGGTGGGGGGCACTGGCTGTGGAGTAACTGAAGGGGGTGTTTAAAGCAATGCCTTCGTAGAAAGGGGGTTTAACATCATAGCAAAGCTAACAGGAGTTAGTCAGGTTTGGTTTGGTCTTGTTCAGGGTTAGAAAGGTAGCTTCTAGCATACGAAAGATTGGGTTTGGGTTTGACTTAGCTGTGCGGCCTATCTGGAGGGCATTTGTATGGCTGGTCAGGGTATTGGTGACTTTTGGGGGCAAGGTTTTGGGGTGGGTTGTGTTTTTTCTTTTTAGCACATTCTTAATAATATTAAAGGGAAGCAAGTTGTCATAGCTAAAGAGACTATTGACTAGGGTGGAGACCATGGCCAAATTAATCTCTTTTTTGAAATGGCTTTGACAACTGTTTGTACATCTTTTGGGTTTAACGGAGTATATATCTTCTGCTGGTTCCCTTCCGGACCGGTGATCTTCACCGGGAAGGCTTGGATGGCAGCTGTTGGAGACCATTTAGCACAGGCTATTTTTATTTCTCCCCAGTCGGTAAACTGGGCTGGTTCGTATTGTGGTTGCTTTTCAGTGCGGCTTAAAGCTTTACTCAGTTTTGTTTTAAATCGCGTTGGCTCTGTTTCCTCCGTCTCAGAGTCCCAGTTGGCTTCCATCTGGTCTTCCGAGCTGCCGGAGCTGCCACTGTACTCAGAGTCAGAAGTCGAATGCCAGCGCACTTCCGGGGCTCGGTGCCTTTTTGTCCGGCTCCGACCTTGCCCCTCCACCCGGGGGTGGCGCCGCTCCCGCCCCCCGGGCTTGCCCTGCCTCCTTCAGGGGGGGGGTTTCTCCCTTAAATGGTAGCAGCGTTAGGCGCGGCTGCCGATTGGCTCCGTGCCCTCTGCCGCTCTCCTCCTCTTTCTCCCACATATGCGCATTCGTAAAACCCTGCGCCTCCGGGCTTTTCGCGCCAAGACCGCCCGCACCCCGCCCCTCTCCTTGGCCGCCAGCGCCATTTTCAGTGGGGTAGGGTGGTGGCGCGGTTAGGATCTGTTCCTGAGCCGCGGTTTCTGCCTCTCTGGCTTCCCTCGCCAGCCCCTGCCAAAAGCATTCCGTGTGCTGCTGCACCTCCGGCAATGGGTCGCTGAGAGACGAATGGGGAAATCACAGATTTTTGGGAGGTTTCCGCAGGGGGGTTTGAGCTCTGGCCCGGGGAGGGGGGTGACGCGCCGGGCCCTCCCGGGTCCTTGCTCCCAGGCAGACCGCCCTCAGAGGCGGTTTGCATTGCTGCTCCTACCCCTAGCTTGGGTGTAACCAACAAACACGTGCACGCTACGCTCCATGTCTCCTGCTCTTCTAATGCTCTGTGCAGGGCTTTTTCAACTTTGCCCCACACCTTAAGGCTTCTGCCACTGTCTGAGGATTTTGTGTCCTCGGCCAGCGTGGCTGTGCATTTTTCCCATATCTCCGGATGCAAAACATCCACAGGGCAGTCAATTGCCCCAAGCTCAAGGAGCCTTGCTATAGCAAGATAAAAGTCTTTGAGCCTGCACTTAATACCCCACTGCTTATGAATCGCACTTACGACCCTTGCGATGGCGTCCATGACGATCACGGGTCCCGGGACGTCTCCCCCGCTGAGGATACAGTCTCACCGCTCCGGCCGCTGCCCCTCGTCCAGGCGACACCCACTATCCGAGTGAATCCTCCCGGGTTTCGGCACCAGATATGTTGCCTTCAGGGGAAGGCAAGGCGACCTGGTTGCAAGGAACAGTACGGCAGCCCGGTTTCGCCCGGGCTACTCGGGCTAACAACAGACGCTGACACCAGTGTGGTGGACGGTCAAAAGGCCTTTATTATCTTATCTCATGGGTTTAAATAGTCTTGGGGGACTTTGCTATGTCAGGGGGGTTGGTAGGGTCTCTAGGGTTAGTCAGGAGTGGAAAACTACTGTGTTAGATGTGGTTACATTCTTTGGGGGTAGTAGATAACATGCTGCAGGAGGAGAGGGGGAAGGGGTCTTTCTTTTCGTCACATCCCAAGATCTTCCATTCACCTGTCCCTATCTACTACACAGGGGTTCAGGCAACCAGCAGAGATGGGAGACAGAACAGAATGGGATAATCTGCATGATACTAGGTGGCTGAAGCAGGGAATACCTGCTTCTAAAAGCCAAGGAACCATCATCCCATATTAAAGGCGGAAGCACAAGCCATCACCAGTGCAACTGGAAACCCAGATGTGGGCTCACCCAGTCAGGAAGCTGCCATGAAATTCCAGCTCTTCTTCCCACAAGGTGGCTACCAGAGCCCTCACACTTTCCCTGCTGGCAGTCACAAGTCCCTATGACTTAATCTTTTGTACTCTTGCAAGCACCCACTCCACTGAGCACTAACGGGTGAAGGTGATGCTTCTGGGCTTGGTAGTCTCTCTAGTGCTTGTTGCAAGTGTCGCAACTGCAAAGGGAAGAGGAAATGTTGCCCATGCTATGAGGGAGAACTGTGGGTAGTACTGTGAGGTCAGAGCTGCTGTCCCTGCTTCAGTACCTGTCACTCTGGCATTCCAGCACGGCCTCTCCATGCAGCCTAGAAGCTGAATGCCCCAGTCAGGTTCCCAAGGCCAAATCAGGAATTTAATGAAGAAGTACCAGAAGTTCCTCTGGGTGGGAGAAGCTGCCTCTGTGTGTCCTGCTGGGATGGCTCACTGACACCAGCAATGCACAGCTCTAAACAGCCTTGTACATCCAGCACCTCGCCAGGACTCTTGCACACCTGGATGTAATTTTGGCTCAGAGAGGACAGAGCACTGTGAAATGTAGTATGGCATCTCCTGGGAGTTTGAGAGAGGGATCCAGAAGATGCCTCCTTCTGCTGGAGCATCCTTACAGAGGCAGCTGATTCTTTGCACTAGGCCCCAGGCATGTGCAGGTGCACCATATGGGGTCCCAGTTTCCCAGGGCAGGTCTGCTCAGGGAGCCATCAGTGCTGCTTACCATGATCTCAAGACCAAGCAAGGTGTCCCTAAGGAAAGGGGTCTGCCTTTGCAGTGTCCTCAGGGAGAAAGGTGTCTACTGCAGCCCAGAGAAGCAAGGCCAGTGTAGACACTGCACCCTTCTCCATGTTCAAAATTTCACCCTGTGACCTGCTAAAAACCTGGAATTATAAACAACACAGGGATAGCATTCCCAGCATGTAGCAGGGAGATGTCAACGTCAAGGAATCACAGCACTATTGAAAAGAGAAACTGCTAGGGCCAACATCAATTCAGGTCAAAACCAAAGGGGATTAGTACTGGCAGATGTGGGAGCTGAGCTGATTCTGGCCTCTGGCTGCCTACCAAACTACTCCTCCAAGGAAGAGGGGTGATAATCCCAAGCATGGCCAGAACATGGATCTGGCTTCTGGAGGCATCAGTGTGGGCCAGACTGTTCTGCTGTGCTGGGTCAGATATGCAGATGGGGTCCATGACTTTCAGGCACGGCAATCATCAGACTGGTCATCTCACACCTTTCATCACAGATGGACAACACCAACATCAGGCAACACAGTGTAATCTGGTTCTTCACCATGGTATGGTGCGAGCAACAAACACACCATCAGTCTAGGAGCCAGAAAGGGAAGGGACTTTGGTGTCGCTGTTGAGGCAGGACAGGAATGAGAAGACTGACTCAGAAGGCTGCTGAGAGTAAAAACTCCGGTTTATTCAAAAGCACCGCTCTTTTATACAGAGCTTCATAAGGACCAATTCTATTGGTCCTGAAGTGAAAACAACAACACTACTGGTGCAGAGTGCTTGACGAGCAGTGATAGAACTTAACTATAAACTATAAACAATGTGAACAAGAGAGATAAAGAATTGTTTACATTCTTTTCCAACTCTTTCCCAAGTTTCTGCCTGGCTAGAAACTCTCAGTTTCTCTCTTTGACTGAATCTGAGACCCACAACTTTGGACAGAGTGTAGAGCAGCAGCAGGGGAAGAGGACATGGCCAGGAAGCAGAAGGACATAGCATGGAGGTTCGGATGAGAAGCATGTTACCAGGAGATGGGAGATATGCAGCTCCAAGGCACTCCAACAGCTGCCAGCATCAGGGTGCAGCAGCCTATGCCTGTGCATCATGTGCTTGGCACCTTTCATCACCGCCATGCTTCCCATACTGCTGAGATCTGCTGGGATGAGGCTGGTTCCTCACAATGCACCCAGAGGCTCCAGCTGTCCAGACATCCATCCTAGAGACCCTGGGGCTTCTCCTGGCAGCATTCACACATTTGTCAATGATCTGTGCTGTGAAAGACCCTGCCTCAGCCCTCAGTCTGCTAGCCTGCCTGGGCATGTGAGAGCTGTCATCTCTTCAACCCATGGTGTGGGACCAATACTAGCTGTCCTTCACCCTTGTACAAAAGGGATCCCTTCACACAGACAGACCTGACCATTGTACAAGCAATGTTATGGCACAGCTGCCTTGAGTATCTTTCTTAGATCAATCTTGGGTCAGGTGCTGTAGCCTTAAATCCTGTGGACTCACTTGAGCTCTGGAAAACCCTGGCAGTCCTGTTCCTGCAGATCCCACTGCTCACAGCCTCAGTGATTGTTCTTGGCTTCCACACAAGCCGATACTCCTGGTTTCCATACAAACAGCCGTTGAGAACATGGCACTCTCTGTTCAACCTAAAGGTGATAATACATATACTCACTTGGGCTTTTCCAGGCGTTCAGGCCCTTTTTGGCCCAAGCCAACAGGACTTTTGTCAGCCTCCTCCACAGTCAGCAGTTGGAACTCTGCTTCCACCTTACTCTGGAGAGACAATATGTCTGAGCCCCAGCTGAATGTGTTGTAACGCATCCTGCCACAGTTGGGTATTGTTCTCCCAGGTCCCATTCCAGATGGCTCAGAGTTTTTTTCTCCATTGACTAGAGTCTTATTTCACAGCCAGTGGAAACCGTGGCCTGGTAAGAAACTGTTTTGCAGACAAGGAACTTTATTTTAATGAACTTCCCAACTATCTGATTTGTCTGCGCCCTCCCACAGTGGCACTGAGCAAAATTCACCCTTGGGGACACACAGTGGTCCAGTAGCAGGGGTATCAGAAGCAAGTTCGTCCCTGGTCACTTGGCACCTACCTGTCTTGGGCAGGCAGAGACCCCCAGGTCAAGCTTCTGCTGCTGTCCTGACTGGCTGATGGGGAGTCATATGCCCCCTGCTTTGGAGTAGGAGCGAGCAAGGAGAACATGGTCTAAGGTGTTTCAGTGGAAATGCAAAATTCCTAAACAAATTCAGATCCCCTCATGGAACTGAGCTCTATGGAAAGCTCAGAGGAATACATGAAGTCAGACACCCCTGCATGCCACAGCACCTGGTTCTTTAGGGTAGACAAAGTGCTGGACCAGCAGTAGATGGAAGAAGTCTTCAGAATCCTGCAGAAGCTGGGTCACTGCTGCCCTTGTAGGTTGTGTGCATGTAGGATAGGCTGCTATATCAAGGCAGAGGCAAAACTGGCTGTGCTCTAGTGCCAGCTCCCCACCTTACCGTCAGGAAGTACTTGTTCCCACTGGAGTCTGTGAATTCCATGTCCTCTGGTTTGACTGAGTTGCTCCACTTTGTTTTCTTCTTCTTCTTCTTGTAGTCCCTTTCCTCTCTCTTGTCATCTTCTTGATCTCTGAGTTTGATGAAGGGCCACCAGCCACTCAAGCACTTATTGCGGAAGATGGAGACTCGAGGTGTTGCGTTTTCCTTGGTCATTTTGATGGTGCAATGCTCAGAGCTCTTTGCTGCCCGCACCATGTCATGCATCTTCAGCTCAATGGAGCCTGCAGGCACAGGAAGAGGAGATCATATGGTAAAACCTTGAGGTCAGCTCCACATGACATTTGGCTGTCTCTGCCACACTCCCACCTGCAACTAGTAGGTCCCAGCTGCTGCAATGATCTAGCAGCACCCTGCACATTTACAGATGGAGAACCTGAAATTCTGCATAAGAAAATACTAGCTCAGGAGTTAGAGACTAAGAGGCAGAAGCCCCAGGTCTTATCTCATTTTTTATAAGGGCTGTTTGGAGAGTTCATATGGTGAGTTATTTTCACCCCTTTATCATGTCCCACCCTGCTCTCCTCACATGTCCAAGCTGATCTTTCTCTCTAATTCCTGGAAATGTCAATTAAACTTATAAAATTATAATGATTTAAAATTATAAATGCTTTAAAGGTTTCAAGTTTATCACAGTTCTGCAACAGCCTCAGTTCATCTTGCTGTTTGGCCTTGTGCCTCTGTTCTGCTCAGAATGAGCTGTCCCATTTTGGCATTGAGCCCTTGCAACAGAACAATCTTACCACATCCTGGTCTGTACTGGTAAAAGCAGACAAGGGATGTGAGTATTCTCTTCTCATTTCTGTTGGGAAGGATGACTTCAGAGATCTCTCATCTCCATTCATCAAAGCCATCCTGGAGCCCAGTATTCCCTACACATTTCCAAGTGAGCCTGCATCTGGATACTGTGCCCAGTTTTGGACCCCCAATACAAGAAAGGTGTCAACTAAATAGTTTTTATTTGCTGAGATAGTAGGTGTAGTAGGTGCCACAGCAAGAGGGGTGAGAGACACATATATGTTCAGCCCAGAGAAGAGAGGTCAAGAGCAAGATCTTATTGCATTCCTCACAGTCTAAAGGAAGCTACAGAGCAGACAGAGCTAGACTCCTCTCAGAAATGGATAATGAAAGCACCTAAAGCAACAGACACTAAATGCTGCAAGTAAAAAACCTGAGATTTGTGAGAAAGGTGCAGCCATGGAAAGGGTTCCAGAAGCATGCAAGGAATTCATCCTTAGAGATAATCAAAACTCACCCAGAAAATGTCCTAAGCAACCTGACCTACAGTGCATCCAGCCCTTCTTGGGGCAGGAAATTGCAATAAACTCTGCAGAAGCCCCTTACTATTTAGAAGTTCCTGAGATTATACATGCTGGAAATCATTGGAATTGTTAATGCTTTCTTCAGTACCTCAATTCTTCATGGGTGAACCACTGTAAGTGCTCAAGCAGTAATGCCACTTCAATACACGATGAAAGGCTGACATATAAGGAGAATATAAACATGCCCAGGAGATAGTAGGGGAAAGGGGATGCTTTTAGTAGGGAAGTTAACATTTGAAGAAGGGAGGAACAACTGAACAGAGCAGCATAAGCTTGGGGACAACAGCAGAAGTGGGAGAGAATCAGCAGTATTTGTGCTAGCATAATGTGTGGGGAATCGCCACTAGCTTTGTTTTGGCACTGGGCCTTGCTGCAAGCCCAGCTCAGCAGGTCTGATTACCAGGACGTACCAGAACATACATGGAGTTCTGAGCCCCTAGAAATGGGATGCTGCAACTCAAGTGACAATAGTCTCACAAAGGTTGTCTGTAGTCTCACACAGGTTGTCCCTGTGCCCACAATACAAGGTCCTGGAAAAATGTTCTTAGGCCCAGACTCTGAGATCTATGTATCTAAGAGCACAAAACAAGCACGTTTATTGGAAAGGTTGTGAGGAAGCAGAACCTGGAATTCCTGTGGTGTGACTGTTGTGGTTTGACACGGAAAGAGAATTTTTTCCGGAAGGAAGAGGTCAATTTAGATATTGACCAATTGAAAGTAGACATGCTTCTGAGAACACAGAGGGGTTAAAAGTAGAATTCTCAGGGGAACTCGCTTTTTTTGGTTCTGGTTAGTGTGTAGTATAGTTTCTTCTGCCTAATAATGAGCTGGGTGGGGGAGGGGAAGCCCCATGGCCTGACAAAGGTAGGCCAAGGGTGGAGGGACTGGAACTGGGCTAGTCTCTGCAGATAGAAGGGTGGAAGAAATCTGGGATGTCTCTGTTCCCTCCCCCCAGAGTTTCTCTCCAGAGAGGGAGAGAAAAAGAGACAGTAGCAGTTCTGTCAGTAATTTTACTGCGAGGAAGAAGGAGCGGGGGGAACTGTAAGGTGTCTAGTGCACGGGAGTTGCTGGATGTCCGGGCATCGAGCTATTCTGGGAGTTCAGACTTTTAACCCTTCCTTAAGAAATGAAAGCTTTGTGAATTTTCCTTTCCCTTCCTCAGTTTGAAAGAGAGGAAGAGGGACACTTTAGACCCTGGGATGTTAGAAGGAGGAATTTTAGATGAGATGGGGACAAGAAGTGGCTTTTGGCTAGACTTTTCCGTATTAGCTACAACCTGAACTAATTTTCTCTTCTAAGAGAGACTGTGTTTTGGGAGAATGCTAGTGAGTTAAGAGACTTGCTTCAGCTGGGAAAAAGACAAAAAGTAGAGTGAACAAAGAAAAGGTTAGGGGGTTTGTAGTGGCGCCCCCTGTCTTAGAAAGGAAAGAGAAGAAAATGTCTGTTCTTGAGCCCTCAGCCCCAGGGGAAAATGGGGGGGACTGTGGTCCCAAACAATGAAAAACTGAACTGTTGTTTTCTCCCATCTTGGCAGGGCATCCTTGAAAAGAAAAATCTTAAAAGCAGTCTGTCCATCCATGCATTAGTAGTGAGAGCACTGTGCATGGAAAGGAGAAGAGTCACCATGGCAAACTTTTTCTCCGAGCAGTGCCATGTGTAACATAGAAACACAGGATGTGGAGCTGTGTTTTCTTGGGGGGTCTATAGCACAGGAGAGACTCTGTTCCCTCAATGGACTGAGTATTGATTGTCTAGAGGGTGGAAACCTAATTAGGGTCCAGATTGTGTCTCACTGTAGTTTGTTGGAGTTGGGTAGTGGGGGGAGGAATGCTTTGCAAGGTTTTCATTTGATCTTTGTGTAGTTTTTTTTTTTCCCTTCTTTAGTTTTCTCTTTTCTTTTGTGGTAATAGCTTAATAAATTTTTTTTTCCAGTTATTAAGCTTAGGCCTGCTTTGCTCTGTTCTAAATTCCACTTCACAGCATTCAAGAGAAAGATCACATTTTCATGGGGCCATTGGCATTGTGCCAGTGTCAAACCATGACAGTGACAGGCACTGAAAAAATACACCGAGGCCCTGGGACAAGCATGCAAGCTACATGTCTGTGTAGGGGAGGTGCCTATGTGTGAGAACCCCGGCCTTGCTCTGGGGTCTCATATGGTGGTGAAATTCCTCCTCCAACCCATGCTTCCAAAGAAAAACTCCGCAGGCTTTAGCTGTTCGGTCTCAAGGCAATTTATTGCTAGTTATCTAACAGATTATGTTCTTGGACTGCGGCTATTTGATCAGTGGCTTGGGTAGAGGCGCACACACACACACACACTGACATCCTCTCTATCTGCTGTCTTCTTCGTCTCTCTCTCCGCCCAGGGCTGCTGCTATCTCTTATAAGATATATTACGTATAACATGTTTACAATTATTCCCCAATACCTACTACCTACGTTGCCAAGTGTTTTTCTACTCTAAACCAATCTGTGAGTGCCAACATCACCACGAACATGGAGGTAAGGAAAAAGAAGGAGGAAGAACAGGATCAGCCCACTTTCCTCCATCTTAGAACTTCTGACCCCCATGTACAAAGTGAAAACCCCCCTGTATATGTGTTAAAACCCCCCTGTACAATACTAAAAAAATTTCCCCTCTACTTTGTAACTACTTTTACTATACTATCTAACCTTTTGTGATTGCTTGTTCCACCTCCAAAGTTGGTAATTCATTCCATGGCTCAAACTCAAAATCACAGCTGTTTTTCAGCTGTCTGCCAGGGTCCAGAATGCTTCTGACCAAGGCCTGGAACCTCTAAAAATGTCTGAGAGACATTTTGAGTTCCCACACCTATGTCCAGGCTTTCTCTGTAGCTTGATGCACCTGGGTCCTTTGACCACCGGGCATGCCACAGGGTCAGGTCCTCAGGAGCCAGATAGCACTAAAAGGCTTCCTCTCAACGGCGCGATGACACTCAGGCAACATTGTTTTCAAGAGGGTTTATTGTAGGAAAAGGCAGATCAGGGAGCAAGGGGAGACAACCTCTCTGGAAGGGAGCTCGCACTGAGAGCACTGAACTGTGGGCGAGGTGAGGAATATAACTGTAGCTGGGAAGGAGGGTCAGGGTAGGAAACATCCAATGAGGGAAGGGTTCAGGGGCGGAGTAGATGATGAGTGATGGAGTTAAAACCAATGGGGACAAGGGGAAGGAGTGATTACAGGGAAGGAACCAATGGAGGTACAGAGAATGAAGAACTTTCTAGAACTGGGGAATGGATTACATAATGATGGACAGGAACGAGGGGAAGGTACAACAAAAGATTGGCAATAGGGGAGGCGGGAAGTTACACGTTTGTCACCTCCCATGGTAACTCAGGGGGACTATCTCCCAAGTCCCCTCCCACAGTAGTTCAAGTGGGAAAAACCAGCCCAGATGACTGCTGAGCTGAAGACTTTGATCTGATGATCCTAGTGTCCCTTCTCAGAGAGCTGAACCACAGGGAAAATGCTGTAATGCTCCAGCAAGGTAAGGGACAGGTCACCCTCCTTCCAGCAGGTAACATCATACTTAGAAAGTCATTAGCTGAAATCCTGTCATAATCCCAGACCTGGAGGACCAGAACAGCCGGTTCCAGAAACTCTGATTCCTCCATGGAGAAGATAGAGTCCTTTTTCCTGTAGGTGATCTCCTTCTCAGTTGGGAGATAACTGAAGTGGAAGATGAACCTCCAGTTGAAACTGCCTTCCTCAGTCAAGGAGTTAAAGTGAACATCTGTCTCCTGCTTGTCATGGTCAAGACCTTTTATCCAGCTGCAGGAGAAACTCAGTTACTCTCTACCCTTGCAGCCAGCCTCAGAGGCAGAGCAGAAGGATGGAAGCACTGAACCCCATGGGATAGCAGGAAAGGGTCAAACCAGAGCAATACCTGGACAATATCTCTGAGATTACAGAGGAGCCCATGCAGAGGACTGGATAGGCACCTCACACCAAGGCAAGGAGGAGCAGACGTTCAGAGGAGGAAAGTGAGTGTGTGGGCAAGGGCAGGGAGCAGGGCAGCCAGGCTCTGACCTCCCACTCATTCCCACCAAACCTTTTCACATAGATGTCGCTGGAAGGCTCTCCTGTTACTGGGTTGACATCATCAAGGATCACATTGTCTGTGTTCCAGATAATCACACAGAGCTCATAGCTGTGGGAAGGACACAGAGATGAAACACATGCCCTTGTCCCTGGTGCATGGGAGGGCAGATCAAGCCTGAGCACAATGCCAGAGCAGCAGGACTTGAAACTTCCCAGCAGTGTGGCTCCCCCTGCTCTTCCCACCAAGGACAGCCCAGAAGTCTCACTGGCAGGCATAAAACCCTTTGTGAACACTACAACCCTACAAGACAAACACCACAGTCGGAGACCTAAACCATTTCAAGCAGTGCTCAAGCACAGCAGAGGTTCACAGGGCACCAGCTGCAGCTGTGTTGGAACCAGAGCCAGCTGTCAGGGAACACTAGGAGAGCACTTTGTTTCTCCCTCTCCAGCTATCCAGTGACCTGAAAAAAAGGAGGAATGGCTTCTGGAAGCTCCTTGCCCTCTCCTGAGCAGGATTTCTTTTCCCTTCTTTGCATAAGTCATAGAAACTACCAGAAAACTGAGGACCAGTTGCACTGAAACAAGGAGAAAGTAAAGTTTGTCATACATGTAGGTGTCCTCACTCTGAGCAGGTAAGGTCAGGAATCATCCTTCCTACAGGCTATATAGCATTGCCTTGCAGTACTCAGCCATCCACATGTGAGCCACATCTGCTCTAGTCTTTCTTCGAGCTTGGATTCAATTGCACAGGTGTTGGCAGCAGCAGGGCCTAGCCTTTGATGAGGAAAGATCTCCATCACTGCTGGTAGAGGCTGTTCTTGGACAGCCTCTACCAGCTGAAAGGTTGCTGTGTTCTTGGACATCTGTGGCCCTGGCTCAGGGTTTGTCATGCCAGTTAGAAACAAAGAAAACAGCAAATGAGAAGCAGAAGCTGCCCACAAGGTGGAGATCAACAGTAGAGAGGGGCAGTGTGGAATCACTCCAGGCACCTGAAGCCACTGGAAGCACAGAGCATTCCTGGAGAAAGCCAGCTAAAAACAGGAATGAAGACTGAAAAAACACTCCCTTCCCCCTCCCCTGTGCTCCCCAAAATACACCCAAAACAAAACAAAACAAGACCCCCCCCCCAAAAAAAAAAAAAAAAAAAAAAAAAAAAAAAAACCCCACCCAAAAAAAAAAAAAAAAAGAAAAATAAAAAGAACAACAAAAGAACTAAAGAAATTCAAACAAACCATCACCACAAAAAAAAAACACAAATCAACCAACAAAAAAAAATCCCCAAAAAACTCCAAAACACCCATAACCCCAAACAAACAGGACTTCCTTATCTTGCTGATAGTGACCATAAGCAGATGAAGGTACAGCTTTACCATAAGCAGATGAAGGTACAGCTTTGTGATAGTGCCAGCTACAAGAATAATCTGGCATACAACAAACCTCCATGACCAGCAGTGGTCTGAAGGTAGGTTTACTCTGTTCCACCCACTGCCTGGGAAGCCACTTTGGTACCTAATGGCCTGGATCACATCTTCTCCCAGTGCAACAATGTCCACTGAAACGATGGCACTGAACCAAGGATGCACCCCACAGTGACCAAAAAAACTGGGCCATGCAGGGCACATAGTCAGGAAGCCAGCCTGGACACCTCAGGGAAGGTTGTGGGCTCCCAGACCACCCACCAACACGTGCATTGCTGAGCACAGGCAGATGTTTAAGGGCCCAGTTCAACAAGCCCTCTGTACCTTCAGGAAAAGCCTCTGGAGGGACCTTGAATATTTTATTGTCCACTTTGATCTCCTCCCATCTGTACTCAGCAGCAGGGATTGAGTTTTTCTTGCATAAACTATCCAAGATCTGTGTGGGTTTAAAAGCATCTTGCCACATGTTGTAGCCATTTCTGCATGGAAAAAGAAAACATCAAGAACTTCTTCAGCTTCTAGGCTGTGAAACAGCCTTCCTTCCCAAAGCACAGGCTATGTCACTAGAACCCTGCCCAGATTTTCACTGGGAAAACCCTGGGCTTAAAGAGGTTACAAAAAATCTTAATGAATGAAAAGCTCAACAAACTCTTTTCTGACAGAGAACAAGCTGGACTTGCACCCCACACAGCTATTAGCTTCTGAGCAGCAGAAGCAATGCTAGGAGCAGGAGCAATTCTAGATACAGTTACTAAGTGTGAAAGAATTTTCAGCTGCACTGGGTACTCAACTCCATTCCCACACCTAATTTTCCAATAGCAGGGTAGGAGAAAAGAAGTTTGCAGAAATCTGGCTGAAGATACTGGAGAATCCACATAGGAGGCCAAAGGAAATCAAATGTCCTGTGTGTTGCTACTTACAAAATACTGCCAAAGAAACTGCTGTACTTTCTGAAAGAGGTCAGAGTCAAGCAAGTATTTTTCTCACATAACACCAATGTGCAAGGAATAAAGAAGTTTTTTTGCTATATTATGCAAAGTGTATTAGATTGCCATAGGAATTAGAGCTATCACAGGAAACTGGTAGGTGTCTAAAGCAGATCTGTGGAGCACCTGCAAATGCATATTCTGTCTTGCAAAACAGGAGGACCTCTGCTACCCACATGTAGCAGGTAAGAATGTCTATGGCCCTCGTTGGTACCTACAAGTCATATTGTGCAGCCACTCCACAGTTGGCCCTGTGCTTGCTGTAGAATCGATTCTCCAAATCAATCTTGGTCTCCCCAATCAGATCATCAGATCCAACCAAATTAGGATCAAATATTGCCACAGTGAGTTCTGATTCCATGGGAAAGGAGACTGTCAGCTCCACAACTCTAGACAGAATCAAATAGGGAAAGTGCAGTTAGCAAAGAGGATAGAAATTAAACACAGGCTCTGCTTTGATAATCTTACACGTTTAAGAACTGTATTTGACAACTTAAAGGCCTCTGATAAACTTTGGTTCTCTCTAAATTAAGTATGTGACATTTTCAGTGTGCAAGTTCCAACAAAGAAATTACTTTTCCAGGAATGTATGGCTTGGATAAAGGGCCTGGAGTTAGGGAAAAACCTCTCCAATGCTCGGCTTCCAATTTTAAATCAAGTCCTTGGGTGTGCTTGTCTCCTAACCCAAAGTATGATGGCTCCTGAGATAGCTGGAGGCAAGGGACATGCCCAAGGGCTTTGTGTAAAAACACAAAATTCTCCATCAGAAAGGAACAGAAGACCTTACATGCTGAGCCACATTTCAAGCCCTAGATTTGCACTGTTCTTATTAAACCTGCTAGATGAAACCTTCCTGCATACTCTCCAAACACAGGATTGAGCTGCTTTGGGATGTATTGCTCCTTTGTGTCCTTCTGCTGCTGCCCCACAGTCACCACCACATAAGGGTCTGCTTTGCCATTGGGGTCTACTGGAGACAGATTTGTAGCCTGGAACATACAAGAGATACTGCTGAACACAGCTGTGGAGGCAGCCTGCACAAGGAACACTGCACAGGCCTGACACCACCCCAGCCTGCTTGGTCAGGTCCCTCCAGCAACTACCCCAGCAGTGAAACAGCCACTTGTTCCCACACAAATCCTCACTCTACAAGCCATTGATGTCTTCAGCTGTGGACCCACCTACTTGTTCATGATCTCAGGGCAGATGTGAGGAGCCAAGAAATGCCCATCTGCCCATCCTCAAGCTATAAAACATGGAAGATTCTTCACGGACAGGATATAGATGTAGGTGCCTTCCACTAGCAGAGGCTTCAAGCTAGCATCACATTTTTCACAAGTGTCACTGCTTGCATTTACTGAGCAGAGAATAGCAGAAGGACCACAGGGAGGGTAGAGACTGCCAAGCATTACTGTCACCTCAACCAGAGACTTACCTTAACAATATAAACTCTTACAAGAACCTTGATGGGTCTGTTCCTTGGAATGCCCTGGGAGACCTTGGGCTCTGTAACAGCTTCCTCAGTGGGGTAGACATAGAAGGAGCCCTGCAGAAAACACTTTTCAAGGAACAGCTGGATATACATGGGAATATCTCAGAAAGGACTGGAGCCACCAGCTTCACCTGCCAACTAGAAAATCAGAGCTATTTCCCCATTTCACTACAGACACCCCATGCCATGGGGACAGTCCTTTCCAAAGGTCAAATCATGTCCACATGTCCCAGGCAATCCCTGCTTGCAATTTAGGCTGCAGGCTGTTGTACCACTGCCAGTGTCAGATCGGAGCACCTCTAGGCACTTTGGGTTGCCAAAGAGAGAGGACACCAAACATTTTCTAGGGACAGCTACAGCTTCTGTAGTTAATATCTCAGAGTCTTCAAGAGCTCCTGGACTGGAGGATGATACCTCTTTTAAATAAGTTTCCTAACTTAAAACCAGTGAAGCTTATTTATATAATACTTATATGCATACTGAATACAACCAGAGTCTTCAACCAGAATGAGTCCTTTATGCTGCATGCTTTCTCTTTGTAGCAGCTAAAAAAAATCTAAATTGGATGGATTTATAAGATAACAACAGTAGGACAGTAAAATTGCTTCAACAGGCACTAACAATACCCTACCCAGCCCACACTGCACACCCATGCACTCTGAAAGGTTTTGCTGGTGTTGGCTTGCTCTGAAATACAGGTCATAAGGATCTTCTTCCACAAGAAGCACAAATGTCATCCAAATGAAACAGTACCTTGTACTTCCCCACATAATGTTCATTCTCTTTCCATCTTCATCCTCATTTGCTTTGCTATGATCAAGGGGGAAAATATACAACCAGTCTTCAAAATTACCAAACTCATGTTCCAGCTCAGAGTTGTAGATCTGAAATAGGTAGAAAGTAATTTGGGGCCTTTTCTTGCCATCTCAAAGGGAAGGAGAGTCAGAAAGACCATCCTTTCTCTGTTTCAATCATTCCACCTAGTCCTACCTTACTTCTGTATTACTCAGTGCAGGGTGTTAATGGTTTTCCTGCATGTCCCTAGGGCCTGCCTTGGATGTGGATGCACATCTCAGCCTGGCTCCAAGGTCTTACTAGCTGTATCGAAGTCCAGCAATGGTGGGGCCTCAGCACACACTGCAGGTTCTCCTCCCAGCATAACTTCCATTGCAGGAAGGTGAGGAAGACATGGACAAATGGCCAGGGCTGAAAGTGACTAGGTCATCCCAATTATCACCTGAAGGGTGGCAATGAGCTTCCTCTTGGGTTGAGCATGTTCAGCTTCAATCACTGCCTCATCCTCTGCTTCAATATCATTGGAAGAGCTTCCTCTTGGGTTGAGCATGTTCAGCTTCAATCACTGCTTCATCCTCTGCTTCAATATCAATGGAAGATACACTTAAATTCCCTCCATCTAGAAATGACGGTAAGAGATTAGGAAACACTCTGATTTCACCCGTCATACCAAGGGTCTCTACATGAAATCACCCCAGCCACAGTTTCTGCTTTCACCCAGGGCTTTGACCTGTGTCACGCAACTGGAGCTATTGCTGTTTGTAGGAGGTGTCCTTCTGGCATCTCCTGTTTCCCACTATGGCATGGCTGGATGGGTGAGGGACAAAAATTGGTATAGACCTATCTACCTGTTTGCCTGCATGGCTGCTATTCAGACAGGAGTTGGGCAGAAACCAAATGGAAGGTGGTTGGGCCAGCTCACAGGTACTGTCAGGGAAAGCACAGAGGAGAGCCCACCCTCCTCTTTGTAAGAGTGGTTATTTGCTGGCCTGCTGGTTTGGGTTTCTAACTAAAGCATCACTGCCACTTTCAGCACAGCCAGCTGAAAGAGACTGTGTCTAGACCTTTCTCAGGAGCACCACCAAACCAAGGACAGAATGGGTGTGTCCTTGTCCCATTCCCCAAGGCTCCAGATCCCCAGAGTACTAATGGAATGCAGGTACCCTCAAAGTCTCCTTAAATTGTATTTACATCATTTTTATACTTCGCACTTTCCCAGGTCAGAGCCATATGAGTCACTGCTTGCACCACTGCAAACCTGAACCTACAGTTGTAACACTGTTCTCAGATCATAAAAAGATTGTTATTACTGTCCATTACCTCTGGTACCTCCTGTTACCTGATTCACCTGCACCCCAGGTGAGTACCCCATAAGCACATAGTGATGCCCAGATCCTGGACAGTTTTTCCTGTCTGTCATCCTCTCTCCATCCTACCACTGCTTCCTGGTCTCACCTAGACAATCCCATCATCCCTGCAGACAATTTTTCTGCATTTTGCCTGCACAGGAAAGCACTTGCGTTAACACCATTTTACAGAACTCCATTATTTTCCAGGACTTTTCTATTTTCCAAATTTTTTCAGGAAAATTTGGTGTTTTCAACTTGAAATAGCCTGTTAGCCCATGTCAATGTCTTCAGCCTCTCTGCTCACTTTTATGTTGTTGTAGCTGAATGTTGCAAGGGTGTTGTCTGCACAGACGCCATTCTCACAAGCCCAGTACCCTCTGGGATGGTATAAAATTGTGGTTTTTCCCACTAAAGAGTGGGGTATTGCTAGAGAACTCACCTGCATCATTCAAGTCATCATTCTCAGCATCCTCCTCATCACTGCATGCCTGAAACACACACAGTCACCTCAGATCCTTGACAGAAAACACTTCCCCTTCTAAGCACAGAACACTGACATTTTCCTGCCAGCAGAGTAAGTAATACATAGAATTAAATCATTCAGCAATAACATCATAGCAGGATGGTATCCAGCGAGTGTCTTAATAACTTTTTCTTCTCTCCAGATCCTCCTGTTAGCTTCTTTTGATTGGAATTTAAGTTGACAGAGCAAGGAAGGAAATTTGGAGCAGACCTCCTCCCAGAACACATACTAGGACATAACCAGGACAGAATAAGCAGCATGAAAGTCCCTGTTAAAGTCAGCAACATCACATTTTCAGGAGACCCTCAAGAGGAGCTGCCTCATTCTCACACCACTTGAGCACCGAGCCTCAGAGATGTTTCAATACCCATCTCCTCCTGATATCAGCCCACCTGGTAGATGCTTGATACCTAGCTACCTTAAGTATGCTTGCTACACTAAAGTTCACATATTCCTGCAGATCCATGTCAGGAGAGATCCTGTGACACTCAGTATGGTTGAAAACATCTTCCTCAACCCAGTGCAACCTATTTTCCCTTTCTGTTGGCAACTGTCACAAAATATTACCTGGTTATACATCTCTTTCAGGGACGCATAGTACTTGGACCACCAATCCAGTTCCTCCAGTTCTGGTTTATCCTCTTCATATTCATCTTCCTTTTTTTACAAGCTTATTGATAGGAATTTTCTTCAAAGGAGCCTTGAGAGAAAAGAGAAAAGGGTTCAGAGGGAAGAAATGGCCACACCAGACAGTCATGCACTCTCCTCTAGTGCCCTGGGAGCCTCTGGCAAAGGCTCAGCCTTCAGGCAGAGCACAGGAGGTGCAAAGCTGCCCATGACTCCAGCTTTGTTTTTTGCTACAAAAGAAGCCATTCTCAAGGTACAGGGCAAGCCTCCTTAATGTCCCTGTGCCAGAGCCCCAGCACATGGCACTGCCAATGAGCAGGCAGGAGAGAGGAGTGTTTCAGTCCAGAGAAAAACCTGGTGGATGAAACCTAACACTGAATTTCTGAACTTTTTTCCTTGTTGCTTGTAATCTACAGTTTGGCTTTACAAACTTCAACATTTGTTGGGCCCAACACATCACTCACCTTCACGAAACTAAGGGAGTGAGTGATGGAACCAGCTGCCAGTCCAATGTTTACCACAGTCTGAGATGGAAGACGGTGAGATGAGACATTGCAAGCTGAGATGAAAATAAAGAACTTCATGTTTCCATGCATTTATTTCTGCCCACTACTTCTTACTTTCGGCCACAGGAAGATCCTCCCTGTTAAAGCACTAGTCTGATTGATTTTAAAGCTTTTCAAAACACACCCTGCAAAAATACTGCTGGAAATCCAACTACAGTACTGAGATTGGCCACCATCACCAATATGCTTGTTGCTGACTCCCAGGAATTCAGAATTATGAGATACACCTTCCCTACTCAGAAATAGACACAGATGGATCAATCTTTGGCTTCTTCTTCATGCTTCCAGATCAGGAGTGCTGGCTTTTGCTATCACAGAGCTATTTAGCTAAGCTATTACCCAATGAACAGACTTTGACCTGATAACGTGAGAGAACTGAAAACTTTTCAATCCTTAGTCATAGTGGACGAGCTCCCTAAAGATGGAGCTCTCATTGAGCAAATTCTTCCATGAGGGTGGTGAGGCACTGGCACAGGTTGTCCAAAGAAGCTGTGGCTGCCCCATCCCTGGAAATGTTCAAGGCCAGGTTGGACAGGGCTTGGAGCAATCTGGTCTAGTGGAAAGTGTCCCTAATCATGGCAGAAGGTGTAACAAGATGATCTTTAACCTCCCTTTCAACCTAAACCATTCTGTGGAGTCTATGACCTTGTGATTGCAGGGAGAGGATTCTGCTGCCTGGCTAAGAGGAAGTGGAAGAGCCAGGGATCTTTGCCACTGGAAAACCTGCCTGTTGTCTCCATGAGAACCTCTCCAAGTAGCTTACCTTTGGGAAAATTCTCTGGTTCCTCCTCCAGCCTTCTGGGAGACAATTTCATCACATCAGACACGACATGGCTACCCACAAGCACAGTGCGCCCAAAAGCACGCTTTTCCACCACAAAGATGCTGAGGGGAAGGTGCAGGTATATCTGCTCTGGAAGCTCCTGCAAAAGAATTATGTATGGGGTTCACAGGAGTAAAGGTGATCAAACTGTGTTGAGCTATCAAAATATGGCAGCCCCATCACATAAGGAGAAGCCTGCTGGCACCTTGCAGCTATGCCCAAAAATCAAAGCCTTGCAGTGACAGGCCATGGCTAAGATGGCTCTTGGTGGGCAATTTCACAAAGGTTTTGTTCCGCAGCTGAACCATGTGGTCATGGGAAAGCAAAATCCTGGAAGCAGTTCCCCTCCTTCTATGTTGTCCCATGTAGAGAGGTGGTGCAGAGTAGCCATAGTATACCCTGGCATGGCAGAATCTACCTTCCCACTCACTACATCCATGCATTTGACCAGCTCAGTGAAGTTGGGGTTCTCTTTGTAGGACACAATCACCTCTGACTCCACCTTCTTACCAGCATATTCAATGATCACCTGGGGCTCATCCACCTCAAACAAGTTCACTCTCTTCAGGTCCCTCAGGCCCCAGAACAGGATCTGAAGCACAACATGAAGCTGCTGTCTGAGACATGCCAGCCTTTGCTATGTCCATGCTGCCACTCCCCCACCCATAGGACACAGTCCCCAGAAGAGGCACAGGCCTGCTCTCCCAGCTCAGCTGCCCAGCAGCTTTGCCTGTTGAACTACTCAGATGGTTTGCCCCTCATGGAGGTCAAGCATCTCCATTTCTGGCATCTTCTCAGGCCTCACAGGCACATTTGACCTTCAAACTTGACTCCCTCACCAAGCCCTGCCCTCCACCCAGGGGCAGCTTGAGGGGAAAGCCAGTGCAGCACCTCTATGCAGAACTCCTTCAGTACTGATGATGAACCGTCCAGCATGGGGGTCTTCCAGGTAGCTGGGCTCCTTGGGCTCCACATCCTCAGGCACTGATGGCTGAACACGTGGAACCACGACACAGCAGGTGATGCAAGTCACTTCTATTCCATGCCATACCAAGCCCCCTCTCTCCCTCCTTCTAGTTCTACGCTCACAGGCTGTCCCTGCAGCCTCCTCTCTTTGGAAAGCCAGATATGGCTTCCAACTTGGAATTCTGGTGGGCCCCATGCAACCAGCTCCTCACCCACATAGCTCTCCTCAGAGAGCTGGCAGACATGTACAGCTTCCTACAAGCCTGTTACCTCCAAATAGCCACTGTAATCGAGCTCAATCAGCTCAAAAGTGGCAATGAGCTCTCCTGCTGCTTTGCTGCCTCTGTAGAAATCGAAGAACTGCAGGGCAGGTTTAGTATAAGGCTCATCGACCAGCTTCACCTGTGGGACAGCAAAGGCCTGCCCAAGGAAATCAGGGGAGCCCTGCAGGAAAGAGGGAAATTACTCAAATCATCCATGTGGTATCTCACCACCTCAAAGACCACCACTAATTCCAGCCAATCTGGGACAGTACAAGACTACTTTTGTTATCATCTGCTTTGATTTTTTCTGCTCCATCCAGAGCTAGGAACAGATAAAGGCATGTCTACAGCAGCTCCACTTAACTCCCAGTTCATCTCCATGCAGAACTTGGCAAATGGCCTGGCACCATGCACAGAGGACATCAAAGCTAGATCAGGTTTTTGAGATTCTCCTCCAGACAGGGTTTGAGTATCTCCAAGGATGGATACACTACAAGCTTTCTGAGCTACAAGCCCAGCATGTGTTCTACCTCTGTGTAAAAATTGCTTTTTTATATCAAGATGGATTTTCTTCCTTGCCAGTTTGTGCTCATTGCTTGCCATTGAGCCCCTTGGTACCTTCCATGAGAAATCTGAACTGAGCTTTTCCATCCTTTCCCACCAAGTAGCTGCAGACAGCAAAAATACACTGGCTTTCTCTCAACCTCTGTAGGCTGAATACACTCAGCTCTCCTCCTTTGTCCTGTGCTCCATCTTGGTGGCCTCCTCTGGACTCATCCCAATATGACAGGGTTTGTCTTGTACTGGAACCACAGGAAAGCTGCTGAGTTACACAGGAGAACCTGGTGCAAGTTATGTCATTAGACTTAGGACAACAAAGAGGCTATAGGGGACAGTGTGACTTTAAAGCACTAATAAAGAGAGAAAAGGGAGGATTGAGGAGGGATGAGCGATGGCATGTGGGGACACAGGGGAAGGAATAGCCCTAAAAGCAATATCAATTCCCTCAGGATATGAGCCTTCTGCAATGTGAGCCTGCCAAAGAAGGAGGCATGTTTATTCAAAAATAAGAGATCCTGGATCCAACAAGTACTCATCAGCCTCTGATGAATTTAGAGTATCTCTGAGTCAGAAGGTCTCAACCTCAGCCACAGTCCCCACGAATCACTGTTAGCAGTGGACAAGCACCAAGCTGGTCCATGGAAACCAGAGAAGTGGCAGCACTCAGAGATCCTCTGCATTCCCTCTTCCAAAAACAACAGAAGGAGGGCAGCATACTTACAAATTTATTGTGGCTGAAAAGGTTGATTATGATGATGGGGGTCTCTGTTTTCAACTCTTTTTTCTTCCCATCAATAATGACCTGGTCAGACAAAAGTAGGTCATTCCACATAGGGCTCAGTGTCTCCTCCAGCATCTGCAGATGGAGACAGAAGGCCCAAGTGTTCCACACTCAGTGGAAATAAATCATATGCAGTAAAGTGAGGAACTCTGGGCTGATTCCCTCTCTCACACAGCTACATGCAGCTGGTGGCTAGCAGGAGTGATGTGGTAAAAGTGTGGGATCAGCACTCAAGGTCAACTAGTACATGCCACTCAACCTTTGAGACCATGCTCAATGACTGTCAAATATTCCCTGAACATATCCACACTGCTCAGAGCATAGATACCTGACTGCTTGGACATACAAAAGTCCCAGAAGGACTGCCAAAGCACTGGCTTTAAACATGTCAGTGAGGGCACAGTCATTTTTCTCTCCCCAGGTTCCCAAGATGACAGAGGCAAGAGTTTAAGTGGTCTCACCCTAGTGGTCTGGCAATGAGTTGAAAACACCACTCTTGCAAATGGATCTGAAAGGCCATTATCATCTGCAGGAAGGATCCCTCGAGCCTGATACAGATGGGCTCAGAGCTGGAAATAGCTGAAGTCTGGGAAAAAAAGGAGAGAGGAAGTCCCCAAAAAAGTCCTGTATGAGGCCAAAAAAATGTCTGAAGGAGAAGGCCAGCCAGATAGGAGTGGGCACATTCTGTGACAAACAGCTACTAATTCTAGGGACTGTGGTTCTCAGGCCAGTACATCTCAAAAGCTTTAGTCAAGCCAGACAAGCTCAGTGGGCTCTGCAGACATCTCTGGGAAGTACATGACATACAACATGTGAAATGTGCACTGTTCTGCTATGAGCATTTACTGCAGGGGAGCACCACCAAGCCTCATCAGAAGGGCAGAACTCATGCTCATTGCCAATTTGGTAACATATTCAATGCCTACAAAAGGCCCATCCTGTCTGCTGCTTTACCTGTAAATGTACAAATACATCCTTATGAGATCAAATTGTATGTGCCTATCCCAGTCATGCTCTGAAGACAACCCTAGATCAGGTCCTAATTCTCAGACATATTACAATTCCCAGATCAGTGTGGCCTGGAGGTGAAGGATTGGGGGGGTACAATACATCACCACAGACGCTAATCTATGGATGGGACCTGTCAACTCCCTGCTCTCCTGCTTATGTGAAGAACTGGTATCTGCACTCACCATCCCTGTTGAGCTGGCTGGGAGGGCTGTATGCTGAGAGCTGGGCTATCTCCTGCTCACTCTCAGAAAGGAACTCCTCAGGCAGCTCTGCCAAACAGTTTTTCGCGTATTTGGTTACCCCAAGCCACATGTAGATTTCCAGTTTGGCAAAAATCTCACCAGTGTGTAAGCCAGGGACCTGAAAGCACAGAAGGTTTAGCAGGTTTCACATCTCAGACCAAGATGATCACCATCAGCCTGGGACTGACCAAAGAGCATAGGAGAGAGAGCACCATATCAGCAGAGGCAAAAGGCAGTGGTGGAGTGAGAGCTGTGTTTCCTTGTGAACTCCAGGATTTCAGGAAGGAGGGCTGAAAGCAAGGAGGGGGAAACAGCATGAAGCAAACGAGCACACTGTTTTGGTATAAACCCTACCTTCATAAAGACAGTCTGGATCTTTGCACAGTCCTTGCCTTTCTCCTCTTCAACTACTGAGTAGAGGATGTTTTGTGCAGGAATTCTGTCATATGCCACACGCCTGTTGTTGCTGAGCATCCAGATGAGTACATCAGGGAGAGTGCACCGAGGCTGGAGGGAGGGAAGGGAGGAACATCACATCAGAGAAACAGCATGTGTCATCCTCCTTCTATTGACATGGTGAAAGCTTTGTCTCCTCACGGGAGGGACTGCTGAGCAATGGCAGTTTAGAGATCCAGAAATAAAGGACCTAACATTGGCCACATACTTCTGAAAGTCAGCCCTGCAATATAGCTCTGGAGGTGTTTGTGGTTTAACTCTGGCTGGCAACTCAGCACCATGCAGCCCATCACTCACTGTCTCTTGGTGTGATTGGAAACAAGATTCAAAACGTAAAAGTGAAAGAAGTAGTGGATTGAGATAAAAACAGTTTAATAGGGAAAGAAAAAGCTTCACACACAAGCAAAGAAAACCAAAGAATTCATTTCCCTCTTCCTGTGGACAGGCAAGTCTTCAATCATCCCCAGAGCAGCAGGGCTCCATCATAGAAACAGTGACTTGGGAAGAAAAACACCATCACTACAATTATATATCACTCTACCCTCACATAGCTAAAGATGTGAAAATTATTTCACTTGGTGAAAGACTTCTCCAAACTTCAACAGTATCTGTCCACCTTATGTCAGCAAACATGACATTCTGGTTGACGCTACAGCAACACACTGATTTTTTTCAGTTACGTAAAATACAAACAATGAAACTCTGAATGTGGAGAGTTTCTGCTATGGATGAGAATTTATTCCAATGCAAGTTTGAATCTGCAGAAAGTATCTAGGGTCAGACCCTGGTGGAAGTGCAGGCAGCACAGGCAAGTTTTCCAAGGCAAACTGTCTGCTGCAGACAAGGCCTTGGGCTGGTGGGGTGGAGAGGCCCAGGAGGCCTGGAGTTGGCCCAGCTCTGCCTCCTACCCACTGCAGAGTTGCTTGGAGCCCTGCTCCACCACTAACAGCCCTGCAAAGCTGCCTGGCCTCATCCCTCCATTAGAGCTATCACATGGTAACTTCCAGCAGCTGGAACTTGGAATTTTACATAGTGAGGGAAGACAGCAGAGGAAAAGCTTCAGTTTAAACTGGTGAGAGCCCTAGCAACCAGCTCAGTATCCTCTCCTTGCCTACCCTCTCCAGCTCAGAACAGGGTTCCCTAGGAGCCACTGTACTTCTTTAGCCATGAAGCGTATCTTTGCCAGGATCCTCCTGGTCTCCTTAACCTTCTCCTTGACATTGTCTTGGGTCAGGTGCTGCCTCACACGGAGCCCCTGCTTTGAATACAGGATCTGAAGAGAAAGCACAGCTGTCACACAACCAGCCCTGCCCCACTACCACCCCACATGGGGAGTCTGCAGGGAGCCTATTGTGCTGACTACATCCATCTCGCTCCATTGCACCCTGACCTCATCATGGCTCACTGCCCAGTTGCTGAGAGCAAACCTCCATGAACCTGTCACAAGCCATTTAGCAAAAGGGTGCCATGAACTGGAGACTATGGTAACTCATCAGCCTCGCCAATATGATCCAGTAACAGAAGTCCATGAGCTTTAAAATCATTTGGAGCAGAAAGATATCTAAGGAATAAACATTCCAGAAGCTGGTGGTCTGAGGCTCCAGATAGTGCCTGTTGGAGACTTTGGCCAAGGATTAACTTGGGGCCACAGTAGTGTGGGATTATGAAGTTGCAGGAAACTGCAACACAGGGATTGGTTTTCACCATTATTAGTGCATATCAGAGATAGTGTACACATATGAGTAGAAACTTTGGGATTAATCAAAACTAATAATGAAATCCAGAAGAAATTCAGGGTGTACACCCACTGTGGACTGGCAAGGCCAGAAAACTCATCTCTTAGGTGGGTTCTTGTGGAGTTGCGGTTTTATATGTTTTATTACATCTTTATTCTGTCATGGTTTGTTCCAGTGTACCCCCATACTGTATTGGTTTCTCCCTGAGTTTTCCCGCTTTTCCCCAAGTGTTGGTTTCCCTGGAAGGTGCCGAGCCAGTTCCCTGCCCCCTCCCGAATGCCTTGTCTGTCACTCGGTGCCCCTTCCCCTACCTCTGGAAACTTCCATCCAGGGCACCGAGTGATTGGATGAGGTCCTGGGACCCCTACCCTGTCCATCCCTCACTGGATCCCCCAGATGTCAATCCCCACAAGAGTCACTCCTGTCTGTTCCCCACTGGATGATCAGCCCCCCTCCCTCTCCCTATGTTGCCGTCACCCCTGAGTGGCATTTGTTGGCTGGCCCCCTCCGGTGCTTTTGGACCCACAGGACCTCAATAAACATTGGATTTTTGCCCCCAACAAGTGCCTCTCCTCATTTCCTCGCCGTTGGAATCAGCAGCGACCTCAGGACCCACAAAGCTCTCTCCAAAGCCCAGCCGGGTACAGCGGAGGGTGCTTCACTCGCCCTACTCGCCCCGCAGGAGAGCTAGCCGGGGCTGAGGACAGGGGTCTGGGGCGGGGAAGCGGCAATTTGGCTCCCCCCAGGGGCCAGAAGAGAGCCTAACCCCACGGAAAAGGACCCTCAGAGTCCAGGAGACCCGTGGATTTATCCTTTCGGCCGTCAAATTACCCCGGTGGGAGCAGACCCACGTTTTAGTGGGCGGCGCTCCCGGGGAAGGCACCGGCAGCTCCGGTCGGCACCACCGGAGTCGGTGCCCCCTTCGGCATGTCTGCAGCCTGGATTTTTCATTTCTGCCTGGACGTGGCCGGACCCTTTTTGCTGGTGAGTGAGGGGGTCCTTGGGGCTTAGATTCCTGCTTTTTTTAAGGGTTTTCCTTTTCTCCCCAGGGTTGGGGGGAGGGATTCCCTCTTTGGGGAGTTTTTCTTGCTCACTGGGTGTAGGGGAAAGACCCCACATTCTTGTTATAACTCCCTTTCCCGGGGTGTGGGGAGCTTGAAGGGCAGGTGGTCTAAGTTGTTCAGGGTAGTCTTTTCTTTTTTGTTGTAATTCTCCTGGCTGTAGACTTTGTGGCACACCTTAAAATCTGTCAGCATGGGTGCAAAGCTGACCCTGCCACAGAGGAGACTATATTCCCAAGTTGTGGGCATCCTAGTTGGGGGGGATAAAAAGTTTAAAAAATCAGATGTTAAAAGGTTTGTCCGGTGGGTGTCACAGAGCTTCCCAGATATTTTTGCAACCATATTATACCAAGTCCCCTTCTGGGACCATGTTGGAAGGGAAATCCTCAAGCAGGGGGATCCTTCCTTGTCCAAATTTACTTATTTGGCACTGCATATTAGGGATATTATTAAAAACAATTATGAAGCTCTGCCACAGCCATGGGCTGACAAACCAAACCCCAGTTCTAAAAATCCTACCCCTCTCTC